ACAGGAAAGTTTGTTGCTACATATTCTCTGTAGCTGGAGTTACGTACCTTAAGCTGAGCATCTGGGTCTAGTGTAGATCTGGCCAGGGCCAGCTTTAGGAAGTGCAGGGCCCAATTCAAACAGTTTTGACGGGGCTCCAGCAGCCAGGATTTTTTATTGAGCAAAAACAAAAAAAAGCACACAAAAAAAAGAGTCACAGCCCCTTTAAATTCCCAGCTACAGGACAGAGTCCCGCCTTCCCTGTGCTTGACTCATCCCTCCTGCGGCGCAGGGAAGCCGCCGCGCTCCTCCTCTGGGACCGATGCCCCCACCCGCAGCACGCCGGCACACCAGCACACTTCTGGCTTTAGGGCGCGGGGCCCGATTCAGGGGAATCGGGCAAATCAGCCTGCAGCTGGCCCTGAATCTGACCACAGTTATGCCAACCTAACCTCCTATGTAGACTGCACTAGCTCAACAGAAGAATTCTTCACTTAACCTAGTGGATTACCTACTGTGATGGAAGAACACATTCCTTCACTGTAGTAGGTGTCTACACTGAAGTGATCAGGAAGCAGAGCTGCGGGCCAACAGATGTCAGCTTTTTAAATGTACACATAGACTTAGCTGGTTAAATGTTTATATGTAAAAATAAAGTATTTAGTGACTTTATAGACCTGTTTGAAACTGTTTTACCCTTTAACCCTTTAATTTAAAAACATAATAATGAATATTAAATCCTTTATGTTTGAATGTCCTTGTTCAGCAATCAGTTGTCATTCTCACAAATTTAGCCTAAGGGTATCTTTCTTTCAATCAATCCAAGATGTTAGTGTGTATATGATACTGTTCTAGTTGTCTGTACAGTACATGTTTCTTTCCATTCTTTTAAAAGCATTTCCATTTATTCTGACCATGATCAGTCTCTATGTTTCCTTGTACCAAACTTGAGGATCAATTGACACTGCCGCCCAAGGAGGATCTCTGAAAAGGAATTGAAAGTAAAAAAAAAAAAAAAAAAAAAAAAAGAGTTATCATTGAAAATAACATATTTTTTAACCACTCATAAAGTGAAGTTTCATGAAGTACCAATACTCAAATAATAGAAAATTAGGGCGATCTACAGCTTGTCCATGTTCATGTACTAATACTGATGGTTCAACTTCCTGGGTTTTCTACTGTCAAATATTCTTTCATCTTTATATCCCCTGACTGGTGAAGTCTACACCTGTGCTAAGAGAATTAATCAGTTCTGTCCAGATGGATGCTGACGACAAGGACTTTATACAAAGCATTATTATAAATTCTCCTTCACATCTCATTTTCTTTTGTCTCGCTCTATTTATAGTGCTGATGTCTACAGGTGTAATTATGATCCCAGTATTTCTCATACAGGCACATTACGATACTGTTTGAAATGTTTCATGTACACCCACTCATATTCATATCTGTCAAGGGCTGTTGAACAAATCCTATAATGATGCTTCCTTCTTTTCATAATATTTATGTTATTATACTTATATATTGCAGACTCCTAAAATACTTTTCAATTTTACATCTATAGTACAGAAGTAATTTCACCTGCCCTGAAAGTCAGTCAGTACTTGGGGGGGGGAAATCTTTGAACTGATTAACAGTGTGCAGCAGCATTACATATACAAATAGGACAGGAAAGGGAGAAAGAATTCAGCTGAAATTTCAGGAGTTGTGAAGTAGGAAAAATGTACCTTGTGAAACTTGGATTTGGCCAGAACACACGATATTTAGTAAAAAGTGACCCGGATTCTGTAATGAACTCAAGTGGTTAAACTTTTGTTTTACATCAATTCAAAAGACAGGATCTCATGCAGCAGAGCATTCCCCACAACCATGCTGCATATTGGTTCATTAATGACTCAGAAAGGAGAGTGCAGCACATGGAGAAAAGACAAATCTTGTGTGTTTTGTGCTTTTTTTCATGCTTTGTGAACTGTTATTGGACAAATAAGAACATAAGAACATAAGAATGGCCGTACTGGATCAGACAAAGGTCCATCTAGCCCAGTAGCCTGTCTGCCGACAGTGGCCAGCACCAGGTACCCCAGAGGGAATGGACCGAAGACAATGATCAAGCGATTTGTCTCGTGCTGTCTCGGTTGAGTTTGCAAAGCTTTTTTTTCTGGCATTCTTAAAAAGTCATGTTGTTTGTTTTGTTCAAGAATATTTCCGTTTAATGAGAAAAATGGCTTCTGACCTAAAAAGCAGCACACTATAGTGAAGCCTACAATTAAAGGTTGTTCAACACTTTCCTTAACAGTCTGTTTTCAGTTGCTTGTAACTCTGCCAAACTTTAACCAATTGGGCTAATGGTTTCTCTGCTCAGTGTCTGTGTGGGATCAAGTATTTCTGGAAAATTTCAGATGAAATGATTCAGATGTTTTTCAGAGTGAAATTAAGAAAAATGCATTGTTTTACTCATGTTAAACATTCTTTAAACTGTTTCATTAAGCAGCTCTACTATATTCATGCTTAGGACAGGGACTGGAAATTGTCAGGAGTGTCACCTTGGTTAAAGGAATAAACCTATGGATGAAAATCATCCCAAAGCTGGACAAATTATGAGTCTCAAACAGTGTATCTTCTCTCCTTGCTTTTTTCTTGGAACTGGACAGATAAGTCATCTCAGGCATCAGCAATCATCCTTTTTTCTGTGTTTGGAATATCATTATTTATTATCTTATAATAATTGGTACCAAATTTGATAATGATCATGCCCAATCAGACCTCAGACCCCATTATCCTGGATTCTGTGTACAGAATAAAGTCAGTCCCAGCCTGAAAGATGTACTGCCAAAAGAATAAAAGAAACATAATAAGTGGGGGTATGTCTACACTGCCACCCTAGTTCGAGCTAGAGTGGCTAATGTAGGCATTCGAAGTTGCAAATGAAGCCCAGGATTTAAATATCCCAGGCTTCATTTGCAACTTCGAATGCCTACATTAGCCACCCTAGTTCGAACTAGGGTGGCAGTGTAGACATACCCTAATATATGGAGATATACCTATCTCATGAAACTGGACGGGACCATGACTGGTCATTGATCCCTGTCCCCTGCCTTCATGGCAGGACCAAGTACCATCCCTGACAGATTTGCCCCAGATCCTCTGGATGGTTCCCTTAAGGATCAAATTTACAACTGTGGGTTTAGCAAGCCAATGGTCAAACCACTGAGCTATTCCTTCCCCCAGGAGGATGGCTCCCTTAAAGCTTTTAAGATACTCGCTTGTTTTTTTCCCTAAATTACTGAGTGAACAGTTCTCAGGGTATGTCTCAGGGTATTGCAGAGTTTTTTCAGAAAAATGGCTGTTTTTCTGAAAAAACATCACTTAAGTCCACACTGCATTTGCGTTCTTTCAAAAAAAAATCAAAAGAACAGAGGAGTTTTTCCGACATTGGTAAACCTCTTTCTATGAGGAAAAAGACTTTTTCCAAAAGGCTGAAAGAAGCCTGCAATCTAGACATAGACTCAGATTAAGCTCTCTGAGTTTTAAAGAAAAACTTTTCAGTTTCTTGCTTCTGGATTTGACGTGACACTCATTTCACTCACCATGGTGCTCAATATTTTAGTCCACCAAACTCCTCCATGAAATAATAACTCTTCTAAGAGTTAGAAAGTCAGTAACAGGAAAATCAGTTTTAACCTTTATGTGTGACCTGATCCTGCAGTATGAATTTTGCCAATGACTTCAATGGAAGTAGAATCTGAGCCTGAGCCAAGAGCCCTGCTGTGAAAATCAGCCCAGACATCCCAAGGGAAAACAGGGGATATGAACCTCAAAGAATAAGCAATTGAAACCAGTTGATTTTATGCGATATTATTGTACTATAAAAGTGGATACAGTAAGGTCTTCTGTGAAAGCTGGTGAGTAATCTCATTGTGATATATATGTATTAATATTATATGAGAAATTATGGATACTTACTGATGTTATGCTTTAAAATCTGTAACCAGAGCCTACCTGTGCCTTGCTGAGGGGGCTCCTCTGGAGTAGGAGTGTCCCGTCCCTCCTCCCCCCACCACTGCTCTTCAACCAACTGCAACTGCTGCTGCTCCTGCCCAGGAGCAATGGAAACTCCCTAAAAAGTGGGGGGCACCACTGCCCATTCCCACGGAGCTCCTACTCTCATGCTGCCCCTTGCCCCCTTCCCCTTGCATCCCTGCCCTTGCACTGCTTTCCCCTCTCCCCAAGACCTGGTCCCCATTTGCTCCTCTCTGCTCCTTTCTCCGTCATTCACCCTTAAAACATAGCTTCCCCCCCCCCTTTTAAAAGTGATAGGGCCATGACCCCAATAGGTTTGGACGTATTCCTGGAGGTTTCATCGAATGACATGTTCTTTACTAAAGATTAACCTTCAAGTCCTAGAGACCCCAGGACAATCCTGGAGAACTGGCAACCCTACCCTCCGGTTCCACCTGCCCTCGCCCCGCTTGGAGCTGCTCCCAGCCATGCTGATCCCAGGAGCCTCCTGTCTGCTGTGCAGAGGCGGGGTCTGATGTCAGATTATCAATATACCCCGCCTTGTATCTGGCCTTTGCTGATCTGAGGTGGGGGAGGGAGGACAGAAATCTGTGGTGCTGCCTCTGGGTCATATGTGAGAGCTGCTGGCTGCTGCTGCTGGACTGAACCAGCCTTAAGACCAGTGAGTGCTGAGCTTAAAGTGACAGCACACTGTCTCTCATGCCTTCAACACACACACACACACACACACACACACACACACACACTGCCTCTCTCTTTCATACCCCTACCACACACATTCACCCCCCCAGCACATATTTGTCTAATTGTTTAAGCTTCAGCAGACAACTCTCTTGCTGAGGCAAAGGGATAGCACAGTGGCTTATGGTTCTGGATGTCCTGAGGAGACTGTCACACCCTCAGTAACAGACACCTGGCCGTTGCCGTGGTAACCACAAGTGAGTGACACAAGTGAGTCCATTGTGACACAAGTGAGTCCATTGTGCCATGCTCAATGGCCTCTTGACTACGAGGGAGGTCCTTCTAGCCCAGCCCCAAGTGATCACTTTACTTCCACTGAGGCAAATGCTGCTTTCCCAATTGCAGAAATCAAACTGGAGACATACAGTTTTACTCAGCACCCCGTCATCTCAGACCAGTAAGTGGATGGTCCAGTTTACCCAGATGCTTCGACATACTTCCTGCATGCCCCATGGCATTTACTCTGCTGATCCCATCAGCCATCATTTGTCCTGCTGCTCTCTGGGTGGTAATTACTGTCAGTTTGTGACTAACAGTCAGGGTCTGCCTGGCCTTTCCAATGTTGCTTTCCATTCCTTTTGTAGCCTGGCCATCTTTGTTGTGAGTGAATATTGCACAGGGCTAAAAGCTAAGCTAAGAAATACTGAACAGCTAAAGGAATGAGTCCTGTAGCTGGGAATGGTAATAGACTCGCATCCTTGATAGACTGTGCATAGAATGGGGACATATACCAACTTTTAATAGTTTGTGGGGTCACATTGTGGAACTGTTTTCTTGGTAACCATGCTACATGTGAGTGATGTTCCTGTCCAGAGTGCCCTGACCTTGGAGCCCTGCACTACTACCCAATGTATATTGATGGTTTTTACTCTCTCTAACTTTCTATTTTTCTAATTCAATCTAATCTGATGTCATTTCCTTCAATGCATCACCACTCATGCAGTTTGCACTTGGCTGCTTCCCCTAGTTCTGTAGCTTCCAGGAACTATTTACCAGGTTGATGCCATCCTCAGTGTTACTTGCCAACAACAGACAGCCTTTTCCAGACTAAGGGTACATCTACACTAGCCCCCTAGATCGATCTAGGGAGGCTAATGAGGCTATTTAAATATCCCACACTTGATTTGCATGTTCCTGGCCAGTAGCCATTTTAGAAATTGACTAGCCTGAAGTAACTGCCTGTGTCTACACGTGACAGTGAAATGGGCTTCCGATTTAAAGCCCTAAATCGAATTAGATGGTATTCCTCCTGCAATGAGGTTTACCACCCAATTCAAAGTCTAAGACGTACCCTTAGACTTTATTGAATGCCAGATTTACTGAGGTAGCTCTGAGTTTCCTAACTGAGAATAATTCCTAACATAGAATTTGAAGTAAAAATTCTTCCAGATAATGTATCTGTGAAAATTCTTCACCTGAACATACCCAATATTTGAGCAGACAGAAGTGTTCCGTTGGAATAGCAGTTAAAAACATTAAATTATAAGCTTAGAGTTTTGAACTACATTGTTAGTGAAGTGGGAATTTGAATTACTGTAACTCTAGTCCTTGTCTGGATGAAGAAATGTTTGTTATATAGTACCACACATGTTGGCACTGGAAGCATTCAACAGCTATCTGTGAGTCAACTGTTCCAAAACAAAATAAAATGCTAATCATTAATGGCAACTCTAATATTTTTGGATACCCTGTAGAATCATATTTCCATAGCACATTAGTCAATGTGTCCCTTTGAGTTTGAAACAAATAGGAAATATTTTAGGTGAATATTGTCTTAGTATATCAACTTTTAATTAATATAAATTAATATTTGGAAATAAAGTTTCAGAGGGGTAGCTGTGTTAGTCTGTAACTAGAAAAACTTAAAAAACAACAAATAGTCTTGCAGTGCCTTATAGATTAACAAAAAATATAGATGGTATTATGAGCTTTTGTGGGCGCAGCCCACTTCTTCAGATGAATAGTGTTTAAGGGTTTGGTCCAGTTTTCAAATAAATATCACAGAGAGGGGATAAGAGGGGTGGGGAGGAAGTCGAGGAAAAAGAAAAAAAGAAGTGGGGAAGAAATTGTCGGTTGGAATGTCCATGTTAAATGAAGCTGATGAGAATACTTAGTACTCACTTTAAGTAACGTTTGTTTGATTTTTTTATGCCGTTAGGATGTGGAATGTAGCAGCCCATCTAGCCAATTTCTTTCCCCTTTTTTTCTTCTTTTTTTCCTCCTGTTCCTCCCCACCTGCCTCCCCCCCATATCCAGTGCTATTTATTTGAAAACTGGACCAACCCCTTAAACTCCATTCATCTGAAGAAATGGGTTGTGCCCATGAAAGCTCATGATACCATCTTTTTTTTGTTAGTCTCTAAGACTATTCATTGCTTATTTGGAAATAAAGACATTCTCATAACCAAAATATAGCTGCTGGTAGAAAATGTAGGTTACTAACATAAAAAGAGAGAGATTTAAATATACCACACATATTTTTAAAAAATCAATTAATACCACTTTATGGTAAGTAGGTAAGAATTATTATTTCCATTCTATCAAAGAGACACTAAAGCATCGATAATTTAGGGCCAACATTTCACACTTGAATGCCTGAAGTTATTCAAAGTTATCATAATTACAGATAATAAGAATGTTGGAAGGGATTGGAAACCTTGGTTTCAAGGTTTAACCCATCTCTAATTATTGGAGATTAGAATGAGACAGAATGTAGAGGTCAGATTATCCCACATCTACTTACTGCAGGATTTTTTCACCTTCCTTTTGGGCATCTGGTACTGACCACTGTCAGAATTTGACTTCACATAGCCCAAAATCGATCTACCGAGGTTTGATTTAGTGGGTCTAGAAAGGACCTGCTAAATCAACTATTGATGGTACCCCCCTCAATTCTGGTGCTCCACACAAAGAGTAAGGGAATTCAATGGGAAAGTTTCTCCCTTCAACCTCCTGCAGTGGGGATGATACAAAAATTCTACCTAAGATACATGATACCAGATTCACTATGCTGGTAGCTGGAGATGCATATCTTAGGTTGACTTTCTCCCATAATTTAGACTTGGCCTCAGAGACATCTCCTCATAGTGGGAAGAGAAGGGCAACTGTGAGGTACAAATATTCACCATTTATTATGCACATCATGGATTCTTTCCCCTTTCCTGCTCTGGCCCTCTCTCTGTATGCTGTAGGCCTTCCCTTTGCCTATTTATTCAGAGAATCTTGTTTGTATGTTCTTGGTCAACACTCCTCGCACTCCAAGCTCTTTCTCTGCCCACTTAATCCTACATACAACAAAGTTCTCTCTATGCACACATTTCCCTGAATGCTGCAGACCCTCATATTCACATAATCTATTCCTGCAGGTTTCTAGTCATCATTTGCATGCTACTGGCCCATTTTCCCTCCACACACTTATCCTGCATGCTTTGGGCCTTCTTTTTGCATACCTACATATAGTGATTACCTCATCTCAAAAAAAGGTATCTTGGCATTGGAAAAAGTCCAGAAAAGTGAAACAAAAATTATTAGGGGTTGGAACGGCTGCTATATGAGGAGAGATTAATAAAACTGGGACTTTTCAGCTTAGAAAGAGGATACTAAAGGGGGAATGTTAGAGGTCTAAAAAATCACAATTGGTGTGAAGATGTCAAATAAATAAATGTATTTACTTGTTCCCATAACATAAGAAACTAGGGGTTACCAAATGAAATTAACAGGAAGCAGGTTTTAAACAAACAAAAGGAAGTATTTCTTCATGCAACGCAGTTAACTTGTCGAACTCCTTGCCAGAGAAAGTTGTGAAGACCAGGACTTTAAAAGGATTAAAAAAAGAACTAGATAACTTCATGGAGGCTAGGTCCATCAATGGCTATTGGGTAGGAAGAGTGTCCCTTGCCTCTATTTGTCAGAGGCTGGGAATGGGTGACAGGGAAGGGATCACTTGATGATTACCTGTTACGTTCATTTCCCTCTGGGGCACCTGGCATTGGCCACTGTCAGAAGACAGGATAGAGGACTAGATGGACCTTTGGTTTGACCTAGTATGGCCATTCTTATGTTTCAAAAAAGATATATTAGAAACTGAAAAAAATACAGAGAAGAGCAACAAAAATTATTAGGGGTATGGTACAGCTTCCATGTGAGGAGAGGTTAAAATGACAGGGACTAATCAGCTTGGAAAAGTAACAGCTAAGGGGGTATATGATAGGCGAGCCCCGCTCGTGAGCTGCACTGTCCGGCGATCGCCCGAACCCGGCTCTTCCGGGTTGCAATCTACTCGCCGTGGGCGAGTAGATTGCATTATTTGTTGAGCCCTGATGATAGAGATCTATAAAATCATGAATGGTGTAAGAACGTGAGTAAGAAAGTATTATTTGCTCCTTTTCATATCACAAGAACCAAGGTGTCACCCAATGAAGTTAACAGGCAACAAGTTTAAAACAAATATACGGAAGTACTTCTTCAGGCAATGCACTGTCAACCTGTGGAACTCTTTGCCAGGTTACCTTACAAACAGTGTCGGATTAAGGGGGGGGGGGAGCTAGCCGGGCAACTGCCCGGGGCGCCAACCTATGGGGGGCGTCTGATTGAAGTGGTAAGGGGCATCGTGTGCCCAGGGGCGGAGCCACACATGCGCCACACACCTGCTGCCCGGGGCGCAAGTATGGCTCGGTCCAGCACTGATTACAAAGGTAAAAAATTTACCTGGGGTTAGAAAAGAATTAGATACATTTATGGAGAATGGGTCCAACAATGGCTACTAGTCTCAATAGTCAGGGATGCAACCCCATTCTGTGGGCACCCCTAAGCTTCTGACTGCCAGAACCTGAGTCTGGATGACGGGGACGGATCACTTGATGATTGCCCTGTTCTGTTTATTTCCATTGAAGTGCCTGATGTTGGCAATTGTCAGAAGACAGGATACTGAACTAGATGAAACATTGCTCTGGTCCAGCATGGCCATTCTTATGTTCTTATTTACAAAAGGCTTTCCCCATTCCTTTCAGATCCATAAGGAATCTGGCCCCATGGCTACAATTACCAGTCAGATCCTTGCAGCTGTGGCTGGTCTGAGAGACACAGTGAAAATCAATGCTCAGGCAGCAGCAGTAATGTTGACCTCAGTCCTGAAAGAGCAGAGGAATAATATAAAAGAAAAGGTAAGAGGCTGTGGAAGTTAAAAGTGCTCTTTTCTGGATCTAGAAGATGGAATTTGCATTCCTTGGCATCTCTGGATGTCTTTCCCTTTACAAGTTTACAGTATGAAGCACTGACTCAGGATCATCTTTTTAAAAAGATAATTCAAACTCTTTCCTCAAGGACTGTGCAGTTCTTCTGCTTAAAAGATAGATGAGCAAATCCTTCCTATGTCTGTCTATGAGTATTTTTATTCTGTTTGTACAAAACTGCTGTCTACAAACAAGAAAGTGTATCTGGAATAACATATGTAAATTGTAGTTGGCAAGTTGATCATCCAAACTTTAAACCAAGCATTTTTAGGGAATTGAGATAGTTTAATTGACTTTTATTTCTTTTCACTGCTTTTCATTTCTACTGCCTCCTTACATTTCCTAAATCTGGATGTGACTGGAAGCAGAAATGCCAAAATAACGCAAAAAAAAAAAGCCATAATTGCGGTCTTTGCAGACTCAGCAGAAGCAGGAAGTACCATAAATCCAATAGTAAACCCAATTTTCAAACTCTTAAATCCAGTTTTTCAGACACCAGAGTTTCAGATAGTTAGAATGAGGGCATGTCTAAACTATAGGGGGTTTTTTCAAAAGAGGATATGCAAATTCCTGCAGGAATTTGCATATCCTCTTTTGAAAAAACCCCGTAGTTTAGACATGCCCAAGTAGTCTGGACGCATTTTTTTCGGGAAGAGCAGGGTTTTGGGGGTTTTTTTTTAAAATGAATGAACCTGCACATCTACCAATGTAATATACGCCATCATGTGCCAACAATGCCCCTCTGCTATACACATCGGCCAAACTGGACAGTCCCTACGTAAAAGAATAAATGGACACAAATCAGATATTAGGAATAGCAATATACAAAAACCTGTAGGAGAACACAGTCTCACTGGACACACAATATCAGATCTAAAGGTAGCCATCCTGAAGCAAAAAAACTTCAAGACCAGACTCTAAAGAGAAACTGCTGAGCTACAATTCATCTGCAAGTTTGACACCATCAGCTCAGGATTAAACAAAGACTGTGAATGGCTTGCTAACTACAAAAGCAGCTTCTCCTCTCTTGGTATTGATACCTGGAGATCAGCTGCTAGAAGTGGGCCTCATCCTCTCTGTTTGAATTAAACTCGTTATCTCTAGCCTGATTCTGGCCAGCATATTTATACCTGCCTCTGGATATTTCCACTACATGCATCTGATGAAGTGGGTCTTTGCCCACGAAAGATTATGTCAATTGTCACACACAATCAGGATTACTCAGAAGCCAACAATTACAATGATGACACTGGGTGAACTGGATTAGAAAATCTTCCCATATTTGTCCTTTGCTTCCTTATCAAGGCCTAATCTTCAAAAATACTTAGGGCTCCTAACTCCTGTTGAAACCTATGGAAGCTGAGGGTGCATAGGTTAGCTGGTTAACTTGTAATCATCACCTTTAATGGGTGATAATTACTGGTTCCAGTGAACCATTAACCGGTGGAGGCTGGAGCAGCTCCCTGCCTGCAGTGGGCAGGGAGCTACTCCAGGCTGCGGGGAGCCCACCACGGACAGGGGCTGCTCTGGTTGTCCAAGACAGCCCCTGTCTGCAGTGGGCCTGGCACCCTGCAAGCAGAGACTGCTCCGGATGACTGGAGCAGCCTCTCCCTGCAAAATTCCTGGTCCTGCTGCAGACAGGGCCAGGGTGGAGCAGCCCCTACCTGCACCAGGGGAGGGGATACTCCAGTGTATGTGCCCATGTCCCTGTAATCAGTTAACCGTTTAAGCAATTAAACAGGATTTTACATCTCTAATTTGCTTATTACCTCATATCATAAGAGCTTTAGTTTTTCTGACCCCTGGAGTTGCTTTATTTGCTATTTACCAGGGAGAATTCTGTAACACCGTGAATCAGTTCCACCCAGACACTCACCATTGCTACATTCAGACATAAACTGGAAGGGGAATGAAACGACAAAAGAAACGGACTCTAAACCAGTTTTATTATTTTTTTACAGGTGCCAGAGATCGTGGATATTATTTACTTCCACCTGCAGGCAACACAGGAGGACAGTGCCAGGCAGGCAGCTATGGGGGCTGTGTGTTTACTAGCTGAGAAGCACACACAAGAAGTAGTCTCAGCCCTACTGAGAGTCTCACTCCCATGTGACAGGTAAAATTGCTGCCTCTCTCTCATTCATGGTTCCAGAGATGTCTCTTGGATACAATACCAAACCGAGAGGCAGATGTCTGATGATGTCTGTCAGCTTTGCTATGGTGCAGACTCAATACCTTCTGCTCGCTTCTGTTAAAGATTACACATGATCCCCTTTGCTAAACTTATGTCTCAGATCCCAGCAGCACTACTTGAGGACTAAGGTCCAGTTCCTTCACTGACCTCCACCCATGGGCATAGCCCTGCTTACTAGCTCAGTACCACTGTGAAGAGATCTAGTAAATCACATGCTCCTGTGTTTTCCAATCTGCAGCCATGTCAGTCAGCTATGGGAAGCCCTTGGCAGAGCCAAAAAGCCTGTCAGCCTCCGGGTGCTTGCTGAGCTGCTAGCGATGCTAAAAAGAAGACCCTGCCTTGAGACGAGTGAAACCTCTGGGTTGAGCAGTAGCTTTGAGGATGCCTCTATTTTGCCTCTAGCTGTAAGTAATAACCAGATATTGTCATCATCTATTCCCCAAGCTTCTGGCACTTGTCTATACAGCTCTCAAGGAGTTATGTACTGCATGGCAACCTATACAGTGCACTCTCATCCCATGGAAGAGGGAAAGAATCAGCAGATATGATCTCCTCCTGGGTCTTTCCAGTTCAGCTCTGAGACAGTGGTTTTTAGTTGTAGCCAGAGAGAGGCCCCCCTGTCACATCCATCTTGCTTGCCCCCTCCAAGATGCCTTAGAGCACACAGGGCACAGAGAGCAATAAAATCAGCATAGTCTTTGATGCTTTGACAGAAGGCCTGGATATGCTGGCTCATCGTGACCCTGGATAACTGTAAACATAGATAAGAGGGTGATCAAGCCAGTCATTGACCAAGAGGCTACAGAAACTTCCCTTGGCTAGCACTGATATTGATATGATCACACAACCATCCCGGGAGAGGAATCTCCCGCTGAGTAAAGAATGCCCAGTACTCCTAATTTAGTTATCTCTCTCTTACAAGTGTAAATTACGTTCACAACTCCCTTGTAAGAACTGGCATCACAACGACGAACCAGCACAATTTGGCATCATAGATAAGAAAGAAAATAAGTGACCCCACGGGTATAAAGATGGGCCCAGCAGCATACTCACTTGGAGTATCAACACATCAGCTGCCTGCTGGTCGGGCTAGGTGATTGACTCACGAGGTCCACATGGGGACGCCCAGCCTCGTTTTCATCTTTACGAGGAATTGAGTGACCGATCCTGGCCTGACACGCTAGAATCGAGAGACGAAGAAGGGAGTAAAAATTGTACCTGTATGTGTCCTTTTCTCTTAGCGCATGCATAGAATTAGAGCTCTTTAAAGATTAAGCTGTCACTTGGTACCGTTATTTTATCTTCCTTTTCCTTTGTAACCATATTAAGACCTGTATTTGCTAGCAGTTAAGAAGTAGAACAATAGCCACTGTAACCGTACGCTTTATAAGTCTCTTTAATAAATCTGTAACTGTTTAAGCTTTAACCTGACTCCTTCTGTTGCTGTAACAGAACTAGACACAATTAAAAGAACTAGCCGGACAGGAGCTAGACGCAGTAAGAACTGGACATTGGGGTTCTGCCGCCTCCACGGGGCAGACCCTTGGGGAACCTGTCAGCTTCTCCTGGCTGCCCGCTGCGAAGGGACCCTGTCCTAGCAGCTAAAGACTCAGGTGTAAAACTTTGGGGCACCCGTCAGCCTTCCTGGCTGCCCGCTGTGAAGGGACCCTGTCTTAGCAGTTGAAGACTCGGGTGTTTAATAGGGCTCACAGACCACACACTACCCCGGCCACAGGCTGACATTACTACTGCAGGAGACTTACCACAGCTGAGCCACAAGGAAGGAGAAACTGAGGGTAGGAGAAATTGACCTGCTTTGCATATTGGAACTTTGTTTGGGGTCCTTAGTGATGGATAGAACTTTTGGGGACATTTAGAGCCTCAATTTATAGTAAATTCTGAGTAAAATCTCCCCCTTCCCTCCTCATCACCTCCTTCTGCTGCACAGTTTTGGGAGTTCATTGTAAACACTGGCAGAGAGTCAGAGACCAGAGTGGGAGAAGATTCGGTCAGGTATTATTTGCTGAGACTTTTTGTCAATGTTTGGACTTGGATTACTATGTAGCTGAAGAGTCCGGGATTATTGGAGTGACACTGGGGAAGGACGAATCCTGAGAAGGGGTAGAGTTCTTGTCTGGACTATTGTGGCAAGGCCTGCTAAGTGTTTGTTGAAAAGTGTTTGTTAAATTTAATCCACCTCTAAACTTTTGCTAACATATTTTATGTGAGCTGGGGATCTGAATTGAAGTGATATCTAAGACTATGTCTACACAGTAGTGTTATTTTGGAATAACAGGTGTTATTCCAAAATAACATAGTCCACATCTACACACAAGCATTTATTTTGACATAATGTTGAAATAATTTTGAGCTGAAGGACTGCTTACTCTGACTCCTGTAATCCTCATTGTATGAGGAGTAAGGGAAGTCAGAGGAGTGCTCTCTCTCAAAATAACTGCTGAGTAGACAGTGTGAAATAACCTATTTCGACTTAAGCTACGCTATTACTGTAGCTCAAGTTGCATAGTTTATTTTGAATTTAGCCCTGCTGTGAAGACGTGCCCTCATTGACATAGCTGTATAAGCAAAAGAAAGCCCTAGGTTTGAATGTAATTATAACAGTAAACAGCACTTTTACAAGAATAGTTTACATCTCAGGAGGACTGCAACAAGCTATGCTAGGAAAAGCACAGTTTTGCTGGTATGAGATGCATTCACATTAGGCGGTCTTTGCTGGTATATGATACTGGATTTATACTGGGAAAATGCTCCTACTGCAGACCGGGTCTTAGTTTAGCTAGAGAACCAAACAGCCTGCAAGCCAGGGAAACAGAAGAAGGGTCCATGTTACTATAGCAACAAGGTAAGGCCACCCTCCACAAAGCAAGACAATGTTCAATATTATGGTCAGCAATGTTCCCTGTAAGATGTGTGCTTGTGCAGCTGCTCAGAAGAGATTCAAATGCTGCCCAGCTGATAAACAGAGTTCCCGCAACTAGGCTTTTTGTTTCTATTGGTGGGGCACAGTTGTACATATCTTGGTGCATATACAAATTTATTCTGAACATTCATGGTAAAGATTAGAGGGTCAGTACTAAATATCTGAGTTTGGAGATCCATGTCTTGAAACTCAGAGATACAGTACAGGGCAACAGGTCATTCAAGTCCTTGCCAAAGCCATAACATCTTCCTCATCTTTTCCTGCTTGTCTCTCTTTCTTTGTCCAAGCCATTAACCTTACAGGAGCATAGGACATGAGACTTTCAGTGAGAGAATCACTAGGAAACTAGCCAAGTAGGGCTCATGTCATACTGCAATGCTCTGGAACACCACTCTGGCACTTTGGGTAATACTCTGGTACTTCTGGTAATATCACTTATGAATGATAGTTCCAGAAGCATGTTCTCACTCTTTTCTTTTCAGGACTCTCACACTGAATATGAAGCATTATGTTCTCCCTTCTAGGACTGGGTGCTCTGCTTCCTCAGTATAGCCAGTCCCTGAAGTTTATGAAACAAGTAATGAGGATGCAAATCAAAGTTGGGCCTATGTAGCATGGCAGTGCAGTGTGCTGGCTACTCTCATAACAATATTTCAAGGAACACAGTTTCATCTTCTGTGATTTATTGTGAGCCAGGAGAGGAACTAAGCATATTTGTGGCAAATTAAAAATAACTGTTGGGGGGAGGGGGATTTTGAAGTTAATTTTGTGTCTATTTTTTTATCTTTTTCAGACATCACGGGCCCTGTGCATAATATTCAGTAACAAAGAATGCCTGGTGCCTATGGGTGCTTTTTATGTATCTGTGTTAATCTTCCTGATTATTCATCTGCATTACCTGGTGAGCTTCCCAGAGGTTGTGTACGGCTGGGAGGACAGGTTCCAAACATCCAGCTTTGTGAGGTAATTACTGACAAAGTGCTAACTAGGTGGATAATCTTATTGTTGTGAATCATCATCATCATCATCATCAAAGTCTCAGTGGTAATCCATGGCCTCATAGTTTGAGATCCTCTGGACCAGAGAAATGTCCTGATTTATAAACTCTCCTATGGGATGATCTTAGTAGGGAAATTATGAAGAGAGTGTTTAGGACACTCCGCTTAAAAGACAATTCCCCAGACCAATCCCCTGGAAGAATATTTCTGTTAGAGCAATCTCTCAGAATAATGCACCATGATGGGTTTTAGATAAGAGGCTTTAATTAATGCAAAAGAAACACTATCAATATTTAATGAATGTTCTTTGGAGGATGGGGTGGGAGGAGGCTAATCTATGTATGGGTTTTTTAAAAAATGCAAATAACAAGCACAGGATTAGAATGTCTGGAAATAGAATCTCTCCTGCTTCATCTTTTCTGGTTGTTCTCATTTTGATACCAGTATCCACTGCCTTCTCTGCTTATTTGTTTGGGTAAAAGGTCTCATGCACTGATTGCCAATGATTAATTAATAAAAACATTAAAAAGCCATAAGATGCTTCATTAAAAAAACTGACATGAAAAAGAGAAATGTTTCTAGCATAGCGTGCCAGGCCAGAGATAATCTAGAGATAAGAGCTCTATGAATATCTCTACACTGCATTCCTCTTTTGAGGGAGGAATGAAAATGCAGCTGAGCGAAATTGCAAATGAAGCTCGGATTTGAATTTCCCGCACTTCATTTGCATAATCGCGTTCGGCCGCTTTTTTGAAATACCCTGTTTCAAAAAAAGAAACACTGTCTAGATGCAGTTATTTTGAAAGAAAACCCTTCTTTCGAAATTACCCTTAAACCTCATTTTATAAGGAGTAAGGGTAATTTTGAAAGAAGGGTTTTCTTTCAAAATAACTGCATCTAGACAGCGATTCTTTTTTCGAAATAGGGTATTTTGAAAAAGCAGCTGGATGCGATTATGCAAATGAAGCATGGGAAATTCAAATCAGCACTTCATTTGCAATTTCACTCAGCTGCATTTGCATTCCTCTCTCAAAAGAGGAATGCAGTGTAGTCATACCCTATGTGACACATAGCCAATCTTGCTATACTTGGTTTCTAGTAAATACTGGGGAATTCTTCCAATTGTGGTTTCTGGAGGTTCTTATTCCTTTGAATTTCATTTTGGTTTTTAAGTTGAGATAAACCAAAATGCCAAAAGGACATTCAGATGGAATGTTTGTGTTTTTTCTTGTTTATGGTAAAAATATGCACACACAAAAAAAGGACAGTTTGCCTCCAAAAGATAAACTCATCTTCAGCATTCTTTTCCTTAGCTTAATTAGCATGGGGACAAGATGATCCCCAGCAGATGCTTGCTATGAAATAGAGGAGCACTACCAGCTGCCCTTCACAGATTCAGAAAAGCAAGATACTCAGGGGTTTAAGTTTGTGCGTACTAAAAACTCCAAGTAAACCTCAAAGGATTCAAATCCCACACAGAGCTAAACAGATGGGTTTTGCCCAACACTTATTGCAGGTTAGTATGGTGATGCTCATAGTATTGACACCTTGGCTGTACACCAGGACGACAAACATGCTAACATGTAAACATCAATGTTAGCTATGGTGCATATATAGCTTATGTGAAGGCACAGACCCCAGGAATTTTAGCTCCAAAAACACATGCCTGTCCTACTAAAACCAAAGAAAGTATCCAGTCCCGCCACTCCCTTGTGGGGTGACATATGCTGGTATACATTTGAACATGTCTGTGAGACACCAGTCACACAATTCTCACTCTGTCCAATACAATACACCATGTGATGAGAAAAGTGGGATCAAAGTCTTATTTACAATAGAAGATATGCATGAGAGTGGTATTGATGTCTTAAGTACATTATACAGGACTATGTAGCACTTTAAAGACTAACAAGATGGTTTAGTAGATGATGAGCTTTCATGGGCCAGACCCACTTCCTCAGATCAAATAGTGGAAGAAAATAGTCACAACCATATATACCAAAGGATACAATTAAAAAAAAAGAACACATATGAAAAGGACAAATCAAATTTCAGAACAGAAGGAGGATGGGGGGGTGGAAGGGAAATGTCTGTGAGCTAATGGTATTAGAGGTGATAATTGGGGAGGCTATCTTTGTAATGGGTAAGATAGCCAGAGTCTTTGTTGAGCCCCGCCGCGTAGACATTTACCTCCCCTCCACCCCCCGCCTCTCCCTTCTGTTCTGAAATTTGATTTGTCCTTTTCATATGTGTTCTTTTTTTTTAATTGTATCCTTTGGTATATATGGTTGTGACTATTTTCTTCCACTATTTGATCTGAGGAAGTGGGTCTGGCCCACGAAAGCTCATCATCTAATAAACCATCTTGTTAGTCTTTCAAGTGCTACATAGTCCTGTATTTTGTTTCAGCTACACCAGACTAACACGGCTACATTTCTATCACTTAATTATATTAGTTCACTAATTTAGCATCTTAGCCATAGGTCATTACATATAATACAATAAACAAAACATTTAATTGATACAACCCCTAAAACAGAAATAAATTTTAAAAACACAAAATAAAAACACAAGTTTAGCGCCTCAAGTGCTTTGCGTAACAAGATCTATGTCTTTCATATATCTCTGAATGTCACTCATCTGTCACTCTCTGGTCTTGAATCTAGCTGTACAGTGGAGGCTCTGAAAGCTGTGATGAAAAGAGAGAAATACTCTTTGATGCAATCTGTAAGTCTGGCAGGAGCCTGGGACCTTTTATCCATGCCAGAGACTTATCTGGAAGGAGTTCTCCTTCTGGCTAGGTAAGTCATAGGAGTGCTGAGTTCATCTGGCTGTGCTGGCCAACATGGTTTCTCTTTGGCATGTCCTTTGGTCCTTGGCTGATTACTCTTTCTCATCCAACAGTAAGAGTATTGATATGTGTTCAACAGAGCCATTTTAAAACACCACCGGAGCCTGGATTTTGCCGTGTTTACCAAAGTGGCCCCTCTCCTGCACCATGGGGATGACAAACAGAAGCTGACAGCAATGGCCTTGTTCACTGGGGTAAGACCTGTTTTGAATGCTTGGGATTCCTGGAACTGCTCATTCTCTGACTAGCTCAGTGAATGGGTCATCTGCATCAACATCTCAGCGGAAACCATGGGGAGAATCTCACCTTTGTCCTACACCTTGTGTTGTCATTTATACTAGTTCAAAGTGGATGTAAAACATTGCCATTCTGATTTGGTGTGATTTACATCCCCTTTGTGCTGGCCTGAAATGGCCACATAAGGGGCATGACAACAGAGAACTAAGTTTTATATCTGATATAACCCATAGGAAAATCAGCTACTTATTATGTGTTCTACCTCTTTAGCTTCTCTCTACTGAGTCCACATACGTGACATTAAAAAAGCAATATATTCTGGGCCACCTGAAGAACTGGCATGTTGATCCAAGGCCTGCTGTCCGCTGGCTTGCTCTTCTTGGACTTGGAAATGTTGCACTTCACTTGCAGAAGGTGAGTGATGATTATTTAAACATGCAACCAAACTCTAGAGGAATGCCAAGAATATTTAAGCCTACCATGCACGCAATGAAATGAACCACAACCTATGCCAAAGCAGAATAAGAAGTGATGGAGGGAGCCAGTGAGAAATACCTGGCACATGGTCACAGCACCTCCCTGGGAATCTTCAAGAAGGAGAAAAATAACTGTCCCTCACTGTCTGCTATACTGTGTGCCCCAGCTCTATGAGGGTGAACACCCTTCCTGTATTCTGGGTATCTTTCTTCCCATCACGATGAGAGGAATTAACAATGGGATTATGAGATTGTTATTATACTTCAAGGTATGCGAACAAATTTCTGTTTCTTGCAGAAGACAGAGGTCAGAGCCCTACTTAATGATGTCCTTGAGACTTTTAATGACCCAGATGAGAAGGTAATTCTGATGGCTTTTGAGGCTGCTACCAAAATTGTCAACTGCCACAAACAGAAGGACCATCTTGACACAGAATTTGTGAAAATTGCCGGACAGCTTCACCCATTCCTGGCTGATGTAAGGTACAATGGTGAGAGAGACTGCTGAAGTTCGTGTGACTAACCTTTGGGGGATGGCAGTTTGTTACAGTGTGTGTGTAATAAAAATAGAAGCCAAATCTTACTCAGTGGTTCCTAGTCTAATCTGTTACTGCAGTGGTTTGAACACTGGTGCATAGGAGAAGCAAGTAATTCATTGAAACTAATGGAGTTATACCAGTATGAAATCTGTGTGAAATAAACCCCTTACTTCGAATTACCAGTTAAACCTCATGGAATTTAGGTTTAACTGGTAATTCGAAGTAAGGGGTTTATTTCGGAATCGCCCTTCTCTGCCGCGTGTAGACGCAGGCAGTTCTTCCGGGCTAGTCAATTTCCAAAAATGGCGACCGCCCAGGAACATGCTAATGAAGCACGGGATAGTTAAATCCCATGCTTCATTTGCAATTTCAGTCGCCCTCATTAGCCTCCCTAGTTCGAACTAAGGGGCTAGTGTAGGCATACCCTGAGAGTGGTGCATCTCCTGCATTCATCTTTCACAGATACTGCACATGCTGGTGATACTACCATTGCCTTAATTCAGTAACATTAAGCACTTACCGAGTAGAGAGCTTTTCATCTTCAAATTGCTTTAAAACTTTAATTAAACTGCTCAGAAGCCCACTGCAGTAGGTAAATGTTGTTACCCTCATTTGTTTAGCCAGGAGACAGATGTTCAATGACTTCATAGAATCATAAATACTAGGACTGGAAGGGACCTTGAGAGGTCATCGAGTCCAGTCCCCTGCCCTCATGGCAGGACCCAGTACTGTCTAGACCATCCCTGATAGACATTTATCTAACCTACTCTTAAATATCTCCACAGATGGAGATTCCACAACCTCCCTGGGCAATTTATTCCAGTGTTTGACTACCCTGACAGTTAGGAACTGTTTCCTAATGTCCAACCTAAACCTTCCTTGCTGCAGTTTAAGCCCATTGCTACTTGTTCTATCCTCAGAGGCCAAGATGAACAAGTTTTCTCCCTCCACCTTATGACACCCTTTTAGATACCTGAAAACTGCTATCATGTCCCCCCTCAATCTTCTCTTTTCTAAACTAAACAAACCAAGGTCACAACCAAGGCCATGCTATGAGTCACAACAATATCAAAGTATAAGTGATCAAACCCCAGGAGAAGGAAAGTGAAAAATACTTTAAACTAGAATCATATGCCTCTCTTATTTGACTGTATTTTGGGGCCTAAATACCGTGAGTTGTACTCATACACACATGAAATAGAAACAAATGGACTGCGTCTAGACTGGCATGATTTTCCGCAAATGCTTTTAACGGAAAAGTTTTTCCGTTAAAAGCATTTGCGGAAAAGAGTATCTAGATTGGCACGGATGCTTTTGCGCAAAAGCACTTTTTGCGCAAAAGCGTCCGTGCCAATCTAGATGCAGTTTTGCACAAGAAAGCCACGATCGCCATTTTTGCCATCGGGGATTTTTTGTGCAAAACAGTCTTTACCTGTCTACACTGGCCCGCTTGCGCAAGAGAGCTTTTTCCCGAGAGGAAGCATCATAGTATTTGTGCAAGAACACTGACAATCTTACATTAGATCGTCAGTGTTCTTGTGCAAATTCAAGCGGCCAGTGTAGACAGCTGGCAAGTTTTTCTGCAAAAGCGACTGCTTTTGCGGAAAAACTTGCCAGTCTAGACTCAGCCATGGAGTTCTTGGCTCTGGCTTTAGTACTCTTTTGATCATGCCTTTCTTTAACCTGCTGAATCAATAGAAATGTTTGATAGAGTCTGGCTTTTAGTAATTTAAAAAAAACCTCTGTCATTTGCATTATGCTATGATGATCACTGGATAAATTGCATGGAAATGCCCTTTGATGAGGTTCTTTCTTTGTCATTCACAGGAAAGGCACAAAATAAGCTGTGCTGCAGCTAAGCTTTTGGGGGATCTGCTCAGGGCCCTCAGTGGGAAACATAAATCCTTCATGCAGGAGCAGGTCCTCAACAGTATGGTCCCACTGCTGCTAAATCTGCAGCAACAGCATCCTGATGTGATCAAGGTAAAAGTCACTGCCATAAATTCTACAGCACAACACTGACAAGACTGATCCTCAGACTATCCTGATAAACAACCCAGGCTGCATCATCTCACCTTTCTCAAGCTAATATCCTAAGACTTCTGATTTTCCTGCTATCACATTCTGTGCAGGTTGACAGCAAAGTGATGATTAAGAATATATTCCATTATCAGCAAGAGTATATGAATGGCTCAGAGAATAGATATCCCTCACAGACTACCTCCCTATGAACAAAAGTATGTTATAGGCCAAGGGGAATATATATGGCCCACTGAGCACTCTTTTTAATATTTATTTCAATTGGACTTCCATTTTCAGTTGGCACCTGTTTGATAACAGTATTGGTACTCATCTCTTAATGCTGGCGCCCTGCTTGTCTCATCTTTCGTAGAGCTGTGCAGACACCTTACAGGAGTGTAAAGCCTTGCTGGGATGGACTTTAAATGACAAGAGTGAATCCTGGGACAGTATCTGTGAGCACCTGGTAAGGGAATTCTGGGATTTCCTTTGTTCTGAGTGTTGCTTTTTCAGTGGCAGGGCAGGGAAAGAAAAATAACAAACAAGCTTCATTTTTAAATTGTGAGGGACTTCCAGCTCCTTCAGTATATCACCTGACGTGGCTCATGAAGTTCCACACCATTGCTATCTAACATTGCTATCTTTCCACTCTTTGGAGGGTAATCCAGGCAGTGACTCTATATACTTAGAAAGTTTTGTTAGGAAAGGTTTGTACGTTGATAGGCATTAAGCAAAGGCTTGTGGGATACAGGCACTAAAGGGATGTTCACTCCTCACTAAACTGAGATTCTTCTTGGTTTTTTCCAGGCTGAGTGGTATCCAGAAAGACTATGGAGCTTCTTACACCAGGCTCAAGAGTATCTCAGAAGCCCGTGTGCTTCTTCAAGAAGAGCTGCCAGCATATTCATAGGTAAACACTGAGTTATTTGTTCTCCTCAAGCCAGCTGACAGAGTGGGAGGAAAAGGTGGCAATTGCCCTGGGACCCAGCAATTCAAAGGGGCCCGGAGGTCCTGGCTGCCAACACTGCTACTGCAACAGCTGGAAACCTGAGCCCTTTAAATTGCTGCTGGAGTGCCATGCTGCATGCTCTGAGTGACTCTGCGGGCTGGGCTACAGGGCACCTAGCTCTGAGCACCACTGAGGGCTGGCAGGGGAGGGAAGGCAGGAGTGTGGAACCGGATTCCCACAAACACATTTTGTTCAGGGGCCCACAGAGGCTGTTGGGCCTCCTTGGTCTCTTTCAGCTTCCATCACTACCCATAACAAGTTAAGGAGTCTTGATTTCAATCACCCAAAGAGCTTAATGCTAGAGTTTAAAAATAGAAGAAACACATTGGAGCCTTAAACATGTCTTGTAACTCCCACTACCCTATCCCTAAATGCCCCAGTCTGCCCCTAGAGGAATCCTGTTCTAGAACATTGTAGCTACCTCATTTGGGAGTAAACTACTTTCCAGACATCCACCTCATTATTTAGGAGTTTGGTGGCAGAACAAAATATTAGACATTATCACTAGACAATATTAATGTCATGTGACCTTGTTTTTATTGTACCTCTAGATGTCATAATCCAGCATCTGGAAAACAGCCTACTGCAAAAGGAAGCCATGGATTTATTGCAAGGTGGTAAGTAATGACTTCCAGTTTAACACCAAGTATATTCTGTTACGGTATCTCTTTGACAGAATTAGGAAGGATGTCTTAAGGACAACTTCCCCGAGAGTTATCTAATAACTCGGCTCATCCACATCAAATCCGTATCTGATCACCGGGAGTGCCAATCTTAGATTTATACGGCACGCATATGAAAACTGGAGACTTGGATTTAACTGGAAACCACAAGACTATATTATTAAAAGCAAACAAATTTAACAAGCAGTACCTCAAATGAACAGATGGGGGGCAGTCCCCTGTTTACACTAATGGACCAGAAGGGGAAGTCCCTCCTGGCCCCTATACCTACACAGAGTCTACGACGATAGACGGTTGATGCAGTGCTAGTGACCTGCGACCTTCGGGCTAGTTGAAAGCCTTCAGGGAGGACAGCTAGACGTCCCTCGTCAGCTGATCTCAATTGCGGTGCTAGCAACCTGCAACCTTCGGGCTAGTTGAAAGCCTTCAGGGAGGACAGCTAGGCGTCCCTCATCGAGTGATCTCGACGCTAGGCGACCTACAATCCGTTGGCTAATTAAAGCCGCGGGAGAGGAACAGCCCAGGAGATCCCTCGAAGCACGGATGGAGGACGAAGACGGTAGGTTCACCTTCCGCAAAGCCCTCTGGTCCTCGCTGCCTCTTCTCTGCGCTTCGGTGCAGCTGGATCAGACGATGGAAGCTAAACTCCTTCTTATCTATCCTAACTAAACCTAAAGATAAAACCCTATCTAAACCCGACGAGCCCGACGAACAGACGCGAGGACGGCCGATAGGCATGCACCGACGCGACCTGCCGTACAGTCTCAATGACGGGAGCTATCCTAACTAAACACTACCTAACTAAATACCTAACCTAATCAGAGAAGGTCTGACCTTCTGTCAGCCTATCCCTGTAAAAGACTTAAATTAGATTAAATTGAGGGAGCATGACTTTCCGTCAGTCCCTTCTAAGAGAGAAACTCTGTATAAGACCTCACTCATCCAACCTAGGACAACATTAATGACAATCTCACTCTCTCTCTCTCTCTCTCTCTCTCTCTCTAAACCTAGACCCGACGACCCGACGCTGTCTGACCCAAGGATAAGCCTAGGGGCCAGCAGCAACTGCTACGCAGCAAAGCCCTTTTATGCTCAACACTCATGAATATGCATGAGGGTTTGAGGTTTAAAGTGATTGGTTGGTAAAGATGCTCTTGTGGCCTGGTTCAAATTGATTGGCTTCTGAAAGATGCGTGTTATAAGCTAATTGGCTGGCACAACAGCTAATGACTATTCATAGTTTATTCAAATCTCGCCAGGTAACTGCATTGCTGTTTTCAAATCTAACAGTTACCTGTGGACGTGACAGAATGTATATTTCAAATGGAGGTCTAAAGAAAGTTCTAAGGTTTCAAAATGGAGTTTCAGACTCCATTTTGAGATATTGCAGAACTCCATTATAATTAAGGTTTTATACATAGTAAGGAGTATATTAATTCACACAACACCAGCCCTATACACTGTACAAATACTGACAAGAAGAATTTACATTAAATAGCTTACATTTGCATTTAATCACTTGATTTTACTTAAACATAGTCACTTCTGCCTTACAGTTTCCATTGCATCAATACACACAGACATTGACATATGCCTGCTTGTGAGTACACGTGTCCATTCTTTGCTTCAATGCTGGTATCTGCATATCAACCTTCATGTAACAATTGCATTTAAATTGCAAGCTGAGAACTAGCAACCAGTTATGACTTCCTGATTCTCTTCCCCAGCATAAGCAACCTCCTCTACTTTTCACTATTTCTTGCAGGTTTGGCAGTTAGTACAAGTTAGATGCACCCTGGGCCAGCTCTGAACTGAATCAGGGTAGAGAATCAAGGTATCATAATTGGTTGCTGGGTCTCAGTTTCTCATCCAACCCACCACAGACTCCCTTGGACCTTGACCTGGGTCGTTGTTTGAGGAAGGGAGCCACCCATTGCTAGGCACTCCCTTATACTCAGGCAGAGTGAGTTGAGCACCTATCCTTCTATCTTTGGTGCTCTCACTGTGCAGCAGTTAAGCAGACAGATAACCCGCTCAGAATTACTCCTGGCAACCCACTGAATGAGCTTCAGATGTGGTGGTAGGAGGCAAAACAGGTAGGTGGTACCCCCTACTGACTCCCCCAGTTCAGGCACTTTCTTTTTAAAACCACAGCATATACCTCAGATAACTAAGTTACATTCATAACCAAATGCAACTTTTTTAGAAGAAAACTTCACCTTGAAGGGACATATAGCCAGTCCCTGACTTACGAACAAGTTATGTACCAAACAGTAGGTTGTAACTCGGTCTGTTTGTAAATCGGATTACATTCACTTACGTACGGCCGTGCTGTTCATAAGTGTGGATTTCGTTTGTAACTCGGGTACCAGCTGTTTAGGAGGCTGGTCATAAATACGAACGGTCATAAGTCGATGCATTCGAACTCGGGGACCAGCTGTAGTTTAAAGCAGGGCTACTCAACTTTGGAAGCCCCAGGGGCCACAGTGATTCTCACAGCACATGCCGAGGGCCGCGACTTAAGTGTGGTTGTATATACATGCAAATATATATTTAAATATATGCAAATAGCTTCTTTCACACTGACGGGTATGAATACAAAAATTAAGACAAGACTATACAACACACAGACCCCTTTTAAATCAGTTCTGCTGATATTAATAAAATGCAATATTTACCCAATTTCCACCCATATGTCAGTACTTATAATGAGCAATGACAGTCCAGGAATCTAGCTACCAAAACGCATATCAACAGAAGACCATTATATTGACTACTTTTTTGGTTTAGCTCCCACCTGCAGGCCACAAACCAATGGGCAGCAGGCCACATGTGGCCCACGGGCTGCATGTTAAGTAGCCCTGGTTTAGAGGATTACAACAAGTATCCCTGGGTCACAGATAACTTAGTTATAGCCTTTTTTCACTTTTTACACATGTTTCCATTAATCATTGTCAGCTCTTCCAGGCAAGCACTTAACCTCTCCCTCTCCTCCACCATGTAGTAGTAACATGACATTTAGATAAAGACCAGGCTTTCAAAGTTCACACAAGATGAGATGAGATCAGGCTGTGCTCAATGAAAGTCACTTAAGAATAAGGGTTAAACAGAACACCCAAACAAGCAACATGTGTTGGGGCAGAAGCTGGGATGCATGAGTGATCAGTACAGGAGTCCCCAGGGCATTTGCCTCTTTATGAAGCAATTCTGACCCATCCTTTGCTCTTTGGTTCAACTTTCATGCCTTTACCATTGGAATCAGAACTCTCAATCTATACAGGTGCGAGTATTGCCACTGAGGAGGTGAAGAGAATATGCAGCCCTTTCCCAGTACCATGTGCCATGGCCTGCTGCTTCCTGTGGTAAGCTTTATCTCATTTGGTGTAATAGAAACATGCAAAACTGAGCCATGACCTCAATTATTGCCACCGTGTGGATGAAATGGATCCATGACCACAAAAGACTTAATATTCAGACTCTTTTGCCCCTGCCTTATCAGCTAAAGGAGAATTTCCAATAGTGTGACAATATTTATGCTTATAAGCAGAGCTAGACAAACAACCAGGAAAACATGTCTCAAGTAATGTGTTGAAATTTCTATCCCCAAATTTAGAAATCCAAGAGATTCACGTAACTTAGAGAAGGTTTTGGAAAGGATCTAACTCAAACCATTGAATGCCAGTCTTATTCTCATAGTGTCAATCTTTAAAATCACAGAACTCAGGAATAGTCAGAAGCCCTAGGTAACTCTTCTGCCAGTGGAGCCATCAGCAGCCAGGGCTGGGTTCAATATCTAGGGCTTCTTCTCCATCCATCCAACATAGAATTGGCTTGAGCCCCCATCCAGTAACCTGGGAAATTCACACACCACCTCTGGGCACCTCTAAGAAGCAATGCTTCCCCACTCACAAGCACGGAGTCTGAGAGTAGAAAATAAACTTTTAATAAAAGGGAGGGAAATAAGTTGGCATTAATTCGGAGAAACACCACAAACAGGGTTCATAAACAAAAAAATATGAGTAAAAGTCCCACTCCAAGAAGGTTGGGCAATGTCAGGTTCTTAAGTCCAGCAATCTGAATGTCCCCTTCACATGCCCAATCCTTCTCTGCATCCCACTCACAGTTGCTGCCCTTGGTCAGAGCAGACCCAGAGTTCACAGGTGCATCCACAGAGTTCAGCTCCCATCCTGAGTGGGGGCAGAGGGTAAAGAGGCATCTTATTTCTCCTCTGGTCACTTGCCAACTGCTTGCTCTCTGCTGCCACCCTGCTGGCTACTCATCATGCTGACATGACTCTGATGGCTGCTCCGTGCATCTTCCACTTACACTCTGCTGGTCATTAATCACCTCTCTCCACTACCACTGTGCTGGATCTCAATCACCATCCACTTGTTGCCATCCACTTGACTTCTGCCCATCAGTCTGAAGCGATTTCAGCTCCCCGTGATTTCAACTCCAAGTAAGCAGGGTAGAAGAAACACAACTTCAGCTCCATTAACATAAGAAAGAAGCACCTAATGATGCCTATTTAGCTCTGGTCTTTGACTGGGGTGGGGAGAGGGGAGAGACAGGTCAAACAAATGCAGGCAGAGACAGTCATATAGCCTCCTGTCCAGAATAACTTTCCCTTACCCTGCCCCCAACCTCCATAGAGCTCTGAAAGTCCAGCCTCGGCTTACCAAGGCTCTTTATGCTAACTGTGAGCCCTTTCATTTTGGAACAATTTAGCACAGTCTTACTTTTCTGTATTCCCACAAAATTATCAACATTGGTAACTGTATTTTAGCAATCTCTGCATTTAATACAAACACAGCTAATGCTGGGTCATAAATTAAGTTGATTACAATGAGCAAAATACCACTCCATCTGCTGAATATCTAACAAATCTAAGCAAAGCAGGAGCAAGCTGTATTTACATGGTCACACCCAGGGTCTCTCCCCACTTCTAGTTAGCTGTAAGGGATGTGTTCCTTCAGAACTTGTTTACGCCTACAAGTAAAATAGAGACATATAAATAAACAGCACTCAGCTCCACTGTCCATTAAAATCAGTGGCAAAGCTCCCATTGATTATAAGATTGCATACTGTGTGCAGTTTTGTACCTCTAAAGCTAGAGAGATGCAGCTCATTGAGGAACCCAGGTGGGATTTTCTCAGATGCTAAAAGGGATCCATCATGTCCCTTCTGAAATCCTAGCAACTTCTCCAGTTCTCTGCTGCAGACCCTGTATCCCAAACCAACCTCTTCTTAAAAATGAGCACTGAATGAGTCATCTTTAGAATCATTGCATCTCCTGTGAGGTCACAGAAGAGACCGTATAGGATATAAGGAAAAGATGAGAGATGGCAAGTAAGATATTGGGGACAGGGAAAGGGAGGCTTCAGGGGATACCTGGGATATACTAGCTTTAGGTCATAATCAGAAAAAGATAGAGTTTCATGAAGACTTTGAGCTTTCAAAATTTGTTTTCATTCTGCATTGGGCTGAAAGCAAAGCCTTCGAAAATTTCCATGAAACAGAATGTTGTTGAAATGTCCATTTTCAGATTGAAAAATGAGGTTTGCTGGTTGGGCCCTCCCTTCTCCTCCTGACTGACAAATGTCCACCTCAGCAACCTTTCCATTAAATATGCAATGAAAATCGATACATCTCTACAACACTGCATTTTCTGTTAAAAAAAAAGTTTTCCTGTCAAATGTTTTGGCCAAGTCTAGTAAAGACTTTTTCTGTAGGAAACTGTATACGTTTTCTCTGCTGTGGTTCTAACTGAACTTTATTCTATGTTTCAGTTCTTGTGGATTTGCTGTTCGATCCTAAAGTCTCTGTCCTTAGCATCATCACCATCGACATCAGGATAGAGCAGGAATCAGTTTTGTGTGCAATTCTCAATGAAAATGATCTTCTCTTTCTTCCTAGTACTGTATTTTATAATAGTAACATCCAACAATTAACAAAGAAGTCAGTGACTGACAGTCTTTCTCTGTTAAATCTTCACATCAGAGAAATTTCTTTGTTGTTGGGAGGGGGGTGTAGAAGTTGGACACTTCAACCAAGAATATTCACTGATGTTTGCAATGGGAGGTACCAACCCCACACTAGGCCAGATGAGGTTAATATGAACCTGTGAGTTCTATCCACCTTGCCTTGCTATTTTGGCAATAGGTGTGGAGCCTACAGGAGGAAGTTAAAAGGACTGATCCTGGCCCTGTTGGGGGCTGAAAAGGCAGAAACGCAGATTACTGACTCACACAGTGAGAAATCTGGCTGGAGTCAGGATGCTGAGTGAGATTGCTGGCAGAAAGATCCTCCCTGAAGGAAAGTCACCCAAGGCAGTTGGGAAGGAGAGTAGGAGGAAGAGAGTCCATCTGGGATTCTCCAGGCAGATGCGGGGGAGGGGCCTGCAGGGAGCAGGATGACTCCAGCTGAGTCAGGAACTGCCCTGCCAGGGAAACAGAGGAACTTCTTTTGTAGCAGAATTCATTGGTTGGGCAGGAAGCACTAAGACATGTGGCACTAATGCTGGGGAAAAGACTTAAAGAACGAGACATGGATAGCCTGTGAGTGCAAGAGGAGACAGTGGGAGAGGCACAAGGTAGGACAAAGTAAGAGGTGGTCTGTATAATCAGGCCTTAACTGCTTGTTAGAAGGTCCAGGATCAGGATTCAGTGGAGAGGGATGGCTGGGTTCTACTACTGAGGAAAATGGAGTTGACACCCCCTGACGAGTGAGAGGGTCTATTGAAATCCTATGGTACCAAAGATAAGTCAGGGGTCAGACCTAATTTCTAATATGAAGTCAATGAATAATTGTTGCACAATTGGTTTACCCCAGAAGGGGTGGAACATTACATGACCTAACTCGAGGGCCAATTTGTAAGGAGAAGCAGCCCCTGAAGGGCCAGAGCAGCTCTCAGCAATGGATGGTAAAGGAGGAGAGCCTGCTATGCTGTGCCCAGCTACAAATGGGCAAACCTGCAAGTGAGTCACTTGCTTACAAGTTATATTCAGATTTAAATAGGAAGAGGAAATGACCCACAGAAGAATCGGTCTCTTAACTGGTTCAGTGTTCTACCAAGTTCCAGAGGTTGCAGTAAGACTGTGATTTCATTTTAGTGCTACAGAAGGGACTAGCCCTCTGTTCTCTGACTGACAGATGCAGAATAGAAGTGGTCTCAAGCCATCTCAGCCACACTGCATGGAGCTGCACTCAATCCCCCTAGAATGTAAGGATATGTTTATTCTGCAGCTGGGAGCGCGCGCACACACACACACACACACACACACACACACCTGGTTGAGGCAGACAGACTCATGATAGATGTGCTAGAGGGAGTGCACTAAAAATAGTAGAGAAGACATTCAGCCTCGTGAAGACCAAGCCCTAGTTCTGAGCTTGGATGGCTAATAACAGCATAAGTATCTTTGCTGCTTTTTGTAACTACACTATAGGTTATTATATTGACTACTTTTTTGGTTTAGCTCCCACCTGCAGGCCACAAACCAATGGGCAGCAGGCCACATGTGGCCCACGGGCTGCATGTTAAGTAGCCCTGGTTTAGAGGATTACAACAAGTATCCCTGGGTCACAGATAACTTAGTTATAGCCTTTTTTCACTTTTTACACATGTTTCCATTAATCATTGTCAGCTCTTCCAGGCAAGCACTTAACCTCTCCCTCTCCTCCACCATGTAGTAGTAACATGACATTTAGATAAAGACCAGGCTTTCAAAGTTCACACAAGATGAGATGAGATCAGGCTGTGCTCAATGAAAGTCACTTAAGAATAAGGGTTAAACAGAACACCCAAACAAGCAACATGTGTTGGGGCAGAAGCTGGGATGCATGAGTGATCAGTACAGGAGTCCCCAGGGCATTTGCCTCTTTATGAAGCAATTCTGACCCATCCTTTGCTCTTTGGTTCAACTTTCATGCCTTTACCATTGGAATCAGAACTCTCAATCTATACAGGTGCGAGTATTGCCACTGAGGAGGTGAAGAGAATATGCAGCCCTTTCCCAGTACCATGTGCCATGGCCTGCTGCTTCCTGTGGTAAGCTTTATCTCATTTGGTGTAATAGAAACATGCAAAACTGAGCCATGACCTCAATTATTGCCACCGTGTGGATGAAATGGATCCATGACCACAAAAGACTTAATATTCAGACTCTTTTGCCCCTGCCTTATCAGCTAAAGGAGAATTTCCAATAGTGTGACAATATTTATGCTTATAAGCAGAGCTAGACAAACAACCAGGAAAACATGTCTCAAGTAATGTGTTGAAATTTCTATCCCCAAATTTAGAAATCCAAGAGATTCACGTAACTTAGAGAAGGTTTTGGAAAGGATCTAACTCAAACCATTGAATGCCAGTCTTATTCTCATAGTGTCAATCTTTAAAATCACAGAACTCAGGAATAGTCAGAAGCCCTAGGTAACTCTTCTGCCAGTGGAGCCATCAGCAGCCAGGGCTGGGTTCAATATCTAGGGCTTCTTCTCCATCCATCCAACATAGAATTGGCTTGAGCCCCCATCCAGTAACCTGGGAAATTCACACACCACCTCTGGGCACCTCTAAGAAGCAATGCTTCCCCACTCACAAGCACGGAGTCTGAGAGTAGAAAATAAACTTTTAATAAAAGGGAGGGAAATAAGTTGGCATTAATTCGGAGAAACACCACAAACAGGGTTCATAAACAAAAAAATATGAGTAAAAGTCCCACTCCAAGAAGGTTGGGCAATGTCAGGTTCTTAAGTCCAGCAATCTGAATGTCCCCTTCACATGCCCAATCCTTCTCTGCATCCCACTCACAGTTGCTGCCCTTGGTCAGAGCAGACCCAGAGTTCACAGGTGCATCCACAGAGTTCAGCTCCCATCCTGAGTGGGGGCAGAGGGTAAAGAGGCATCTTATTTCTCCTCTGGTCACTTGCCAACTGCTTGCTCTCTGCTGCCACCCTGCTGGCTACTCATCATGCTGACATGACTCTGATGGCTGCTCCGTGCATCTTCCACTTACACTCTGCTGGTCATTAATCACCTCTCTCCACTACCACTGTGCTGGATCTCAATCACCATCCACTTGTTGCCATCCACTTGACTTCTGCCCATCAGTCTGAAGCGATTTCAGCTCCCCGTGATTTCAACTCCAAGTAAGCAGGGTAGAAGAAACACAACTTCAGCTCCATTAACATAAGAAAGAAGCACCTAATGATGCCTATTTAGCTCTGGTCTTTGACTGGGGTGGGGAGAGGGGAGAGACAGGTCAAACAAATGCAGGCAGAGACAGTCATATAGCCTCCTGTCCAGAATAACTTTCCCTTACCCTGCCCCCAACCTCCATAGAGCTCTGAAAGTCCAGCCTCGGCTTACCAAGGCTCTTTATGCTAACTGTGAGCCCTTTCATTTTGGAACAATTTAGCACAGTCTTACTTTTCTGTATTCCCACAAAATTATCAACATTGGTAACTATATTTTAGCAATCTCTGCATTTAATACAAACACAGCTAATGCTGGGTCATAAATTAAGTTGATTACAATGAGCAAAATACCACTCCATCTGCTGAATATCTAACAAATCTAAGCAAAGCAGGAGCAAGCTGTATTTACATGGTCACACCCAGGGTCTCTCCCCACTTCTAGTTAGCTGTAAGGGATGTGTTCCTTCAGAACTTGTTTACGCCTACAAGTAAAATAGAGACATATAAATAAACAGCACTCAGCTCCACTGTCCATTAAAATCAGTGGCAAAGCTCCCATTGATTATAAGATTGCATACTGTGTGCAGTTTTGTACCTCTAAAGCTAGAGAGATGCAGCTCATTGAGGAACCCAGGTGGGATTTTCTCAGATGCTAAAAGGGATCCATCATGTCCCTTCTGAAATCCTAGCAACTTCTCCAGTTCTCTGCTGCAGACCCTGTATCCCAAACCAACCTCTTCTTAAAAATGAGCACTGAATGAGTCATCTTTAGAATCATTGCATCTCCTGTGAGGTCACAGAAGAGACCGTATAGGATATAAGGAAAAGATGAGAGATGGCAAGTAAGATATTGGGGACAGGGAAAGGGAGGCTTCAGGGGATACCTGGGATATACTAGCTTTAGGTCATAATCAGAAAAAGATAGAGTTTCATGAAGACTTTGAGCACCTGGAACCAGGAGGAGTACCAGCAGCTCCTGCGAAGGCAGGTCTGCTGTTTCAAAATTTGTTTTCATTCTGCATTGGGCTGAAAGCAAAGCCTTCGAAAATTTCCATGAAACAGAATGTTGTTGAAATGTCCATTTTCAGATTGAAAAATGAGGTTTGCTGGTTGGGCCCTCCCTTCTCCTCCTGACTGACAAATGTCCACCTCAGCAACCTTTCCATTAAATATGCAATGAAAATCGATACATCTCTACAACACTGCATTTTCTGTTAAAAAAAAAGTTTTCCTGTCAAATGTTTTGGCCAAGTCTAGTAAAGACTTTTTCTGTAGGAAACTGTATACGTTTTCTCTGCTGTGGTTCTAACTGAACTTTATTCTATGTTTCAGTTCTTGTGGATTTGCTGTTCGATCCTAAAGTCTCTGTCCTTAGCATCATCACCATCGACATCAGGATAGAGCAGGAATCAGTTTTGTGTGCAATTCTCAATGAAAATGATCTTCTCTTTCTTCCTAGTACTGTATTTTATAATAGTAACATCCAACAATTAACAAAGAAGTCAGGGTATGTCTACACTACCCCGCTAGTTCGAACTAGCGGGGTAGTGTAGACATACCCCCATTGCTAATGAAGCCCGGGATTTGAATTTCCCGGGCTTCATTAGCATAAGCGGGGAATAGGACCCTAGTCCGAACTACCTAGTTCGAGCCCCGTGTAGCCGCGCTACACGGGGTTCGAAGCAGCGGGGATTTAAAAATGGCGGCTCCCCGCT